GAGCTTTTCTCTCTGTGAGATAAACATTTCCATGTGCCTCCTGTCCCCTCCATTTGTGTTGCCAGGGAGAACAAGTATTAAAATCGAGGGGCCACGCCCCGATGCATCGGATGGTTCAGAATCTACCATAATTTCAGTGAATACATTTGTATTCACCCTTGCATAGCACCCAGCTTCTTTACTTGTCCATTTATAGGCTAATTCTTGCTTCTCATCTACCAGGCAAGTCTGCTGACTTTTTTCAGGACAAATCAATCCATTCTGAGACAGAGTTTGCATCTGTAGATGAGGAACCTCCTACAGCAGGATCAGTCCAGGCAGTGAAAAGATTCCGTTCCTGTGTGGATGAGGGCCATAGCCGGCTGTCTTGCTGGTTGTTGGGCAAGGCCCACTTTCAGCACTGGGAGCTGTCCTCCATTATCTAGCCTTGTGGGCATCGCACAGGGCGTTGGGTCACGAGCCATGCCCAGGAGGGCAGGCACGGTCCTGGCGGAGAGCGCTTTCTGAGACACTGCTGTGTTCCCCACCTTCATGATGTTGCCATTCTGTCTGAATGCTTCCATCTGGTCTACCAATGGGCCCCATTCCCTTATCCATCCCTAACACATTTGTGCAAATACAGGCTGAGATTCCTCATTGCACTGACTGCAAAGAGTGCAAAAGAAATCAGAGAATTCTTATAAGTTGTTAAACCCACGACCAAAAAAAAAAAAGAAAGAAAGAAAGAAAAAGAAAAAAAAGAAAGAAGCTAGGCACTGGTGGCTGTAATCCTAGCTACTCAGGATGTTGAGATCTGAGGATCATGGTTCAAAACCCAGCCCGGGCAGGAAACTCCATGAGTCTTTTATCTCCAATAGACCACTAGAAAACTGGAAGTGGTGCTGTGACTCAAGTGGTAGAGCATTCGCCCTGAGCTGAAGAGCTGAGGGACAACACCCAGGCCCAGAGTTCAAGCCCCATGACCCACCAGAAAGAAAAAAAGAAAGAAAGAAGGAAGGAAGGAAAGAAAGAAAGAGAGAGAAAGTAAGAGAAAGAAAGGAAGAGAGAGAAAGAAAGAGAGAGAAAGAAAGAAAGAAAGAAGAGAGAGAGAAAAAAGAGAGAGAGAAAGAAGAAAGGAAGAAAGAAGAAAGAAAAAAGGAAGGAAGGAAGGAAAGAAGGAAAGAAAGAAAAGAGCTGGGTACTGGTGGCTTACGTCTGTAATCCTAGCTACTCAGGTAGCTGAGATCTGAGGATTATGGTTCAGTCAACCCAGTCAAGAAAATCTGTGAGACTCTTATCTTTAATTAGCCCTGGAAAATGGAAAATGTGACCCATAGTGGCCCACTGGCCTTGACCAAAAGAGCTTAGGGACAGCACCAAGGCCCTGAGTTCAAGCTCCATGACTGATGAAAGAAAAGAAGAAAGGATGGAAGAGAGGGAGGGAGAGGAAGGGAGGAAGGGAGGAAGGAAGGAAAAGAAAAAGTTAAACAGAAAAATGTGCATGAAGAAATCTGAATAAGTCTTCCATAATTTTCAAGCTTTTCAAAAACAATAATGATAATGAAATGACAACTGTTGTGTTAAGAACAGGAAAGCCCTACTTCTACTTGTTTGGGAGTTCATTTTTTGTGGTTTTTTTTTTTTTCTCTCACATCAAGATAACAGAACCGGGCACTAATGGCTCACGCCTGTCATCCTAGCTACTCAGGAAGCTGAGATCTGAGGATCGCAGTTCAAAGCCAGCCCAGGCAGGAAAGTCCATGAGACTCTTCTCTCCAATAAACCACCAGAAAACCGGAAGTGGCCCTGTGGCTCAAGTGGTAGAGTGCTTGCCTTGAGCTGAAGAACCAAGAGACAGCGCCCAGGCCCAGAGTTCAAGCCCCACCACTGATAGGAACAAAACAAAACAAAAGTTATCACAGAACATTCCAAATTGACAATCTGAATGTGTGTGTTCTCAAAACCCAAGAGAAGGCGAGCGAGGGAGAGGGGAAGGACACACGGGACTTACTCAACAAAGGCTCGTCAGGCTCCAAGTGTGGGAAAACTTTAATTGAGATGTTATTAGGAGGTTAGGTCTCCGGAAGTCCAGAGACTCATGGGAAAAGAATAGTAGTAGAGAGAAAAGTCTCGCTTGCTCTGGTGGTCCCTTGGGACCAGAGGGTTGGCATGGAAAACATTGGTGTAGAACAAGGTCCTACAGGGAAACGGTGAGTTTGGCTGTGGAGTAGCCAGAAGGAAATGTACAGAATGAACAGACACCCAGAGCTGTGAGCAGCCTCCCCTGGCATCTCTCAATGCAAGCAGCCTTCCTCCAGGCAGGATATGCTCATCTCCTTGGGAGTGCTCATCTGAGAGGAACGGAGGCTTGAATATCTTCCTGCTGTCTCATCTGGCCTCCTGCCTTCAGTCTCTTGTCGACCACCTCAGGAAGAATACAGATTTGAGGGTAGAGAGACCTTCCATTCAGAAAACCCACTCAGGTAAGTCTAAGAACCCAGATGGTGTTGCAGGATTGCTTCACAGAGATGGAAGACAAGAAGACAAAAATATGTACTGCAGGTTGCCTTATGAGTCATGGTGACCTAGCCTGGCCAGAGAGAAGGTTGTGGTGGTTGGTTTGCTTGCTTGATTCAATCAGTGTGTTTGAGTTTCGAGGCTAGAACTCTATCACTTGGGCCACACCTTCCTTTCTGGCTTTCTGTTTGATTAATTGGAGATAGGAGTCTCACAGACTTTCCTGCCTTGGTTATTTTGGGTCTGTGATCCTCAGATCTCAACCATGATGACAACAGTCATGAGCCACCAGTACGTAGCTTGGTTGACTCTTTCCTGTTTGAATTTTTGTCTGATTCTTCCCTTTGAGCCTGTTTCTCTAATCTGGATGTTAGCCTGTTCTAGCAACCAAAGAACATGCTTCGTCTGTCTTTTGTGGGGAGAAAAAAATTGATCTTCTGTTATTCTGCTAGTCCACAAAGGAATATAGGTATAGTTGGAATCTAGCCAAAAACTAAGGGCATGTTTTCTGTCTTGCAACTGTTCAAGGACTAACTGAAATAGGTAGATGTTTACCCGCTTAAGAGTATTTCATTGGCTGGAAAGGTGGCTCAGGGGTAGAGTACTCGCCTAGCATCAGGGAGCCCTGGGTTTTCGATTCCTCAGTACCACATAAACAGAATAAAGCCAGAAGTGGTGCTGTGGCTCAAGAGGTAGAGTACTAGCCTTGAGCAAAAAGAAGCTCAGGGACAGTGCCCAAGCCATGAGTTTAAGCCCCAGGACTGGCAAAAATTCATATCTCTCTGTCTCTTTGTCTCACAGTTTCTCAATTTCTCCTCCCCCCAATCTTTCTCTCTCTCACTCACTCTCTCTCCTAAGCAATGTGTTGTCTTCTTCATGCTTTTAAGTGTTTATTAGAATATGGAGATCAGGTTTATCCTAGGCAAGCTCTCTAGAACAAAGCTACAGCCCAGCCTATTTTTTTTCAATGCTTGTTAAAACACATTGTAGAGAACAGCTCTAGCAATATATATATTATATATATATAACTTCAAGGTTAAGTAAGAAATCTGCAACCTGAGATTTCTGGGCCCAATTCATGCTTCCCTTTGGAGAAACATAATTTTTTTTTTTTGGTCCAGTCATGGGGCCTGAACTCTGGGCCTGGGCACTGTCCCTCAGCTCTTCAGCTCAAGGCTAGCACTCTACCACTTGAGCCACAGCGCCACTTCTGGCTTTTTTCCTTTTGCTTATGTGGTGCTGAGGAATCTAACCCAGGGCCTCAGGCATGCAAGGCAAGCGCTCTACCACTGAGCCACCTTCCCAGCCCAGGAGAAACATAATTTTCATCAGCCTGCATTTCCTCTTTTCCTTGATCTAGTGAGTGTGCAAAGGCCATGATATTTACATGTCACCAGGAGACCACTGTATGGATTATTTTTCCAGGTGGTGAGTGGGCACCAGCGGGGTGAGGAAAGGTGTGTGGAGAGGGTGGAGGAAGGTGAATGCGATTAAATGCATGTATAAAAATAGAACAGTGGCCGGGCACTGATGGCTCCCGCCTGTCATCCCAGCTACTCAGGAGGCTGAGATCTGAGGATTGAAGTTCAAAGCCAGCCCGGGCAGGAAAGTCTGTGAGACTCTTCTCTCCAATGAACCACCAGAAAACCAGAAGTGGTGCTGTGGCTCAAGTGGTAGAGTGTTGGCCTTGAGCAGAAGAGCTGAGGGACAGCACCCAGGCCCAGAGTTCAAGCCCCATGACTGACAAAAAAAGTTTTTGAAAAGCTCCTAGTGTCTAGAATTTGAGCAGCAATGCAATCACTCTGCTCATTATTTTCAGACTCTTGCGCATTTTTTTTTGGGGGGGGGTCTGGTCGTGGGGCCTGAACTCTGGGCCTGGGCGCTGTCCCTCAGCTCTTCAGCTCAAGGCTAGCGCTCTACCACTTGAGCCACAGTGCCACTTCCAGCTTTTCTTTTCTTTTTGCTTATGTGGTGCTAAGGAATTGAACCCAAGGCCTCAGGCATGCAAGGCAAGCACTCTACCACGGAGCCACCTTCCCAGCCCGACTCTTGTGCATTCTGTATTCTGAACCTTGAAGATCTGAAATGAGCATCTTCCCTGTGGGCCTTGGCTGAGCAGACAATGGAGACAATGGACTTCTTCTTTTTTTTCTATATTCCATTTTCCATCGTAGGTTCTTTTTTTTTCAGTCATGGGGCTTGAACTCCAGGTCCGGGCGCTGTCCCTCAGCTCTTCAGCTCAAGGCACTTGAGCCACAGCACCACTTCTGTCTTTTTCTGTTTATGTGGTGCTGAGGTTTCGAACCCAGGGCCTCGTGCATGCAAGGCAAGCACTATACCACTGAGCCAACTTCCCAACCCTCCATGGTAGTATTTTGTCCCAATCATTTCCTGCATGGTACTTTCTGTCCTTGTTACAAATATGTATACCTGTTTTCTTCATGTCTCCATTGCATAATTGTGTCACTCCTTTTTTCTTTGTTTCAGTTAATCACTGCAGCTCTATGGGATCAGAGAATTACACACAAATTTCAGAATTTGCCCTACTAGGAATTTCAGAAGATCCCAGAGTGCAGCCCCTCCTCTACGGGCTCTTCCTGTCCATGTACCTGCTCACCTTGCTCGGGAATCTGCTCATTGTCCTGGCCACTGTCTCTGACTGCCGTCTGCACACACCCATGTACTTCTTCCTCTCCAACCTGTCCCTTGTGGACATCTGCTTTACTTCCACCACCGTCCCCAAGATGCTGCTCAATCTCCAGACACACAGCCGGGCCATCAGCTACGCGGGCTGCATCGCCCAGATGTATTTTTTCATATTCTTTATAGACTTGGATATTTTCCTGCTGACGGTGATGGCCTACGACCGCTTCGTGGCCATCTGTCACCCGCTGCACTACACGATCATCATGAGCCCTCGGCTCTGTGTGCTGCTGGTGCTGATCTTCTGGGTCGTAAATGTCCTGTATTCTCTGTTACAGAGCCTAATGGTGCTTCCACTTTCTTTCTGTACTCATGTTGAAATTCCCCACTTTTTCTGTGAACTTAACCAGGTGGTCCGTAGCGCCTGTTCTGACACTTTTCTTAATGATGTGCTGATGTATTTTGCCACTTTTCTACTGGTTTGCTGTCCCCTCACTGGCATTCTTCACTCTTACTCCAAGATCATTTCCTCCATCTGTAAAATCAATTCAGCCCAGGGGAAGTACAAGGCCTTCTCCACCTGCGCGTCTCACCTGTCTGTGGTCTCCTTGTTTTACTGCACGCTCCTGGGTGTGTACCTCAGTTCGGCGGTGACCCAAAACCCTCATTTGTCAGCCACAGCTTCGGTGATGTACACGGTGGTCACCCCCATGCTGAACCCCTTCATCTACAGCCTGAGGAACCAAGACATCAAGAGGGCTTTGAAAAGACTTTTTGATATGAAATCTCTAAAAGGCCAGCTTTATGGAGACTAAAGAAACCACCATGATTGCTGAACTCAGATCCTCGAGGTCAGACCTCAGATTCTGTGATCAATGGAACTGGAATTTGTTCCTTTTCTTTTATTCCTAGGATTTCTGATTCTTTTTTTCTTCTTCTGGGCTTAGCATCACTGTGATTCAAACACAAAGCCCATGCCATTTTCCTTCCTTCTCTGTGATAGTCAATCATATCTTTCTCATTGTTTTCCATTTTCTCAGACTCTTGCAGCTCTGGTTCAGAAGTTTTTGTAAAATCCTGTTTGTTTGTTTTTCCAACAGGACAGTCCTCTAGGAACTATTTCTTCTCAGGTGGCATAACAATAAACACCTTTCTTCTCTTTTACTAAACATTTCCATAGACTGTACTCTTGTGGAGGGAACTGTATTAAAAAAGAGAGGCTTTGTGATGGATGAAATTCCAAAATATTCCACATAGAGTAAAACAAAATACAAAGTTCTTCTGCTGGGCATTGGTGGCTCATACCTGTGATCCTAACTACTCAGGAGGCTGAGATTTGAGACTCTTAGTTCCAATTAACCATCAAAAAGCCAAAGTAGAGTTGTGGCTCAAGTGGTAGAGTCAAAAAAAAAGCTTGGGGATAGTGCCCAAATCCTCAATTCAAATCAAGACCAGCACTCAGGAAAAAAATGGTCCTGGGAAATAAGTCACATTGGCCAATGAACTGAAGAGACCAGAAATAAATCCACATTGATAGAAAATTAATTGTTTCACAAAAGATTTAGAAATGGCACTGGAAGGTCAGTATCTTCAACTGAGTGTGGTGAGAAAATTTGATATCATTAAGTAGATCAAAGAAGTACACTCCTGCTAGCTCATGAAAGACAAAAAAATTCAGACTCAAAGATGAATAAAAAATCTTAAACTTTCCAACTGCTCACAAAGTAAAATAAAATCAAAACAAGATAAATGATATTAGGAAACTTGTATGGGTAAAAAAATAATTTGGATAAACACCAAATGCATGAAAGCAAGTGTCAAAACAGACAAATGGAAAATATACTACTGCACATCTTTCATCAGAGTAAACAACAACCTGTAGATCTGGGGAAAACATTTATAATTTTCTTTTAGTTCCTGGTCCTGGAGCTTTGAACTCAGGTCCCAGGCGCTGTCCTTGAGCTTCCTTTTGCTCAAGGCTAGCACTCTGCCACTTGAGCCACAGTGCCACCTCCAGCCTTTTTGGGGAGTGGGAATGGGTAGTTTATTGGCCATATGAGTCTCGTGGACTTTTCTGCCCAGGCTGGCTTCAAACCTCCATTCTCAGATCTTAGCCTTCAGAGTAGCTACGATTACAAGTGTGAGCCGCTGGCACCCAGCTTTCATGTATGACTAGTTTTCTTACTAAAATTAATGTCCCAAATCCCTAAGAATCATAAAAATCCACAGCAACAACAACAGAAAAATCAAATACTCTGACTAGAATACAGTGGGTAAACCCCAGGGAGAAAGATGAGTATCATGTATCTCTTCTCCCATTCAGACTCTCAAACATGTCATGACACTTATAGGGGTCACTGGAACATAGGGAGGGAAACAGAGTATGGCGGTGTAGGAATACTTGAGGGCTGGGTTGTCAGGTAGAGAGAGATAGATTTTCGGCCTACTTTCTATACTTGTATGTAAGCATATTCTTTTATATGCTTTTTACGCTTGTGTGACAATGGAAGTATGTAGGACAAAACCTACATATTATACAATTAAGAACATTCATAACAGCTCTTTCCAATAAGAACACGTCAAAATGGCCAGCAGATGCAATCAAACCCAGAGTGGGATAGCATCCCTACCCTCCACACTCAGTGAGAATGACAGATGGCAAACAGAGTGGAAAAGGTGCTGCTGGGCTGACACTAGAGGTGTCCTCCGTGTGGCCTGGCCTTTGATCCACAACATGGCAGACAACAAAACATACCCAGGAGGAGGAGGAGCCAAGAGGTCTCAAAGACAATGCTGGTGGGATGTAAATGAATGTACACATTCACCACGGAGATCTGCGGCCCAATGATCAAATGATCAGCGTGGCCCCAGGCCTGGCCCACTGGAGGGGGTGGGCCCTCGAGAGGCTGACGTCACAGCCCATGGGTGTGCTGCTGGGGGGGCGGGGCATGCAGCCAGAAGTGAGGGGGGGTGGGGATGCTGTTGGAGTGGGCTGAGGTATCAAGGCCCACATGGCGAGCTGTCAAGAAGTGATTGGATGGCAGGCAGCTTGGGGGAGGGACACGAATGGAGGTTGGAAATCGTCAAGCAGATGAAGCTGTGAGTCCGTCAGAGTGGGGAAGGGCACAGCCTATATATAGGCTGTGTGTTCCCAACAATGGGGTGAGTGGAGAGAGAGACAGCAGGAAGGGAAAGCCTGCGGGATCCAAGCGGGGCAGGCCTGTGAGGAGGCCTGAGGCCTGCAGAGAGGCCTGTGGGGAGGCCTGTAGCCCGGGGAGAGGCCTGTGGGGAGGCCTGTGGCCTGGGGAGAGGCCTGTGGAGAGGTCTGTGGGGAGGCCTGAGGCCTGTGGAGAGGCCTGTGGAGAGGCCTGAGGCCTGTAGAGAGGCCTGTGGAGAGGTCTGTGGAGATGCCTGAGGCCTGGGGAGAGGCCCACAGAGAACCTGTGGAGAGGCCTGAGGCCTGGGGAGAGGCCTGTGGGGGAGGCCTGAGACCTGTGGTGAGGCCTGCGGAGAGGCCTGTGGGGAGGCCTCCCTGTGGGGAGGTCTGGGGAGAGGCCTGTGGGGATGCCTGAGGCCTGCAGAGAGGCCTGTGGAGAGGGCCGCGGAGAGGCCCGCGGAGAGGCCCGCGGAGAGGCCCGTGGAGAGGCCTGTGGAGAGGCCTGCGGAGAGGTGCCTATCGGAGCAGAGCTGGGCAGGCCTGTGGAGAGTACAGAGGCCTGCAGAGAAAGAGGGAGGAAGGGAAAGGAAAAGCCTTCCCTTGTGGAGCTTTGAATCTTTGGAGCTTTGGAGGTCTGGGGTTGGAGGTTTGCAGACCAACTAATAAAGGTTGGGCTGCCCATTGGAAGTTTGATGGTCGAGGCTGCTCTTGGTTCTGGGTATCTGGCTCAGGACAAGGTAGTCGCAGGCCCCCTTTCTGGTGTAAATAGTGTAAATACTTTTTGTCACTTTTAACCATGCCTTGGTGGATTGTCTCGCTCTTTAGAGGTCACAATTCCATCAGTCAGATCAAGCCATCCACTACTTGGTACAAAGCCGAAGGAAGGGAAAGCAGATTGGCAAAGACAGGTGTGCTCTCTTGCTGGGTGCCAATGGCTCACCCCTGTCACCCTAGCTACTTGGGAGGCTGAGATCTGAGGATAGTGGTTCAAAGCCAGCCCAGGCAGGAAAGCCTGTGAGGCTCTTAACTCCAATGAACCACCAGAAAACCAGAAGTGGCGCTGTGGCTCAAATGGCAGAGCACTTGCCTTGAGATGAAGAGCTTAGGGACAGCACCCATGTCCAGTGTTCAAGCCGTACCACCACCACCACCAGCAACAACAAAATGACATGGCTAGGTTTTGTACTTAGTGTTCCTTGGGAGATAGATGTCATTTGAAGGACATAAAGTCAGCAAAATGAGCCATGTGGCTATCTGTGGCCATGTCGGGAAGGCAGAAATAGTGGTGCAAAGGCCCTAAGAAAGGTGCCTGAGTCACATACATCAGAATTCACAACAGAGTAAGATGGGATCCAGAAGGAGCTTGAGAGGGACGTCAGGAGGATTTTTCCAGGGGATGTAGAAGAATGCAGATGCTCCTTGAAGTCTTGGAGTGTGAAGACATGTGAAGTACAACGGTGCCACATCAGCCTTGCATTTCAGATTTAGGTAGCTTTATCAAGGCACAGTGGAAGCACAGGAATTGCATAGAGGTGACCTGCAGGACTGGATGAGCTACACATGTGAAGGCAATGGTACAGAAAGGCTGGTCACCTCCGGTTCTCCTCTACCTCCATTCATTTCATTGCATTGCATTGTATGTGGTAAGACTGCTTCTCATGAGCCAGGCATTGGTAGCTCACACCTGTAATCTTAGCTACTCAGGAGGCTGAGATCTAAGGATCTTGGTTCAAAGCCAGCCCGAGCAGAAAAGTCCCCGTGACATTCATCTCTAATTAACCACTCAAAAACCAGAAGTGGTGCTGTGGCTCAAAGTGACAGACTGCTAGCCTTGAGCACAAAGAGCTCAGGGACATCACCCAGCCCCTGAGTTAAAGCCCCACAATTGACCCCCCCAAATTCTTCACATGAGATCTAGGCTCATAGAAAATTCTTTTTTGGGGGGGTAGGTCCTGTCGTGGGACCTGAACTCTGGGCCTGGATGCTGTCCCTCAGCTCTTCAGCTCAAGGCTAGCGCTCTACCACTTGAGTCGCAGTGCTACTTCTGGCTTTTTTTTCTGCTTATGTGGTGCTGAGGAATCGAACTCAGGGCCTCATACATGCAGGCAAGCACCCTACCACTGAGCCACCTTCCCAGCCCGGCTCATAGAAAATTCTGATGATACTTAGGGCTAGGAAGCTTTTGTGTCTATGAGCTTTTTCTCTATAATAAAGTCTATGTCCACTAAAAAACAAAACAACCAAAAAACCAGACTCCCAACTTTCCTCACATTGCCAGCCCATTCTGTGCATGCATGAGTCTGACCACTCTAGATAGACACATTGGATAATGCAGTATTAGGGTTTCAGCAACAATCCTGTGCTTCAAATTAGACCATGCTCTGACTTCCCTCTGCTGGTTAGGGTGCAGTGTCTGTGTTGACACCTCTCTCTGTGTCCCTCGGCCTCTCCACTACAGCCCTTCCTAAAGATGCCAACCTTTGCCATCATCCCAATTCTGCATATTTCATGGTCCAACCTTCCCACATCAATCTGAAAAACAAACTCCAGAGGAGAAAGCGATTCACCTGCTTGTCCAGGATGGTGTACAGGCACAGCTCATTTTCCTGCACACTGTACCTGTCGTACTTGTGGATTTGTTGTACATGCTTTTGACCA